AGCTGCCGTCACTACCTCTTGACTTCCTGTAAACCCTGCCTTCTTTCTGCAGGCCTTCACTTCCTTAGAAAGAGACAAAATACCTAGAGAAAACAAAGGAGTACCAAATATACATGATTCAATGTTTCTGTTCTCGGAGCTAGTATTAATATAGACTGCAGTAAGCACCACCTTTCCTCATACTTCACTTCCAACTTAGTAACTGCTCCTATTCTGAGAGGGTTCTGGTTTCAGCATTACATTCGGTTTCTTATTGACAGCCACTAGCAGATTAGCAACCTTTGCTTTTCATCAGAAAAGACTGGAAGTCATGACAATAGCTGAAGATCCTGAATCAACAAGTGCTTCCACAGGTTGTCCTATTTCGAAATGGTCTAGTGACAGTGTCCATCTGCAATGTTTCTTCATTGTTGATAACTCTGCTTTCACCCATTGCTGGTGAAGTTTCTTGCATTCTCCTTCATCATTGTGATACTGGCCTAAAATAGTGTTGCTAGAGTGTTACTCCCTCCTACCAGGTGTCTCAGCAGTCGACTTTTGTCATGGAACAATCTATAATGAAATGCCTAGTACTTCCACACCTGTGACACTTGGTTGGGCTTATGCTGCTGTTTGCTATTGGTACTGGACCCTGGCTCTGATAGCTATCACTCTGGTTAGTGGGCTTCTTTGCTGGGTGAACTGGATTATGTTGCATCTTGGCCAGCTGCTTTGATTTCTCTTCCATTGTCCTGGGTTGGTGTAGTGAATCTGAATTCATTAAACAAGTGAATCCAATGTCTTCAACAACACTAAATGGCTGAATATCTAGAGCCATCATTTCCACGATGCGTAAGTGATTCAACTAAGCTCTAGCCATTGATGTCCCATCTGTCACTGGTCTGTTTTAATGTAAGTTACTTTAGCATCTGTTGTTTTCTTTCCATCTTCTCAGATTGTTTGCTTTTTTTTTTAGCTTTTTTTTCAGTGAGATACTCCATATATGCTTCTTTGTGGTTCTTCTTTAGGTGATTAACTAAGTTTGTAGGACTGTGGGCCTTGTTGAAGTTCCATGTCTATCAATAGACTCACTGCAAGTACTGCACTTCGCAGACTTTGTCTTCAGCAAGGGAGAAATATTTCCAAACAACTGATCCCTTTCTATCAGCCATTTTGATACCAGGCTAACTCCACTGCGCATGCTCAATGAGATTGATTTTTAATTATTGATGCAAGTTATTGTAGTTATTAATGTTTATTAAAAATTGGCTAAATAATGATAAAAATATCCTTAGCCGATTAAGACTTTTTAGCTACAATATTGGCAGCAACCGATAACCGATTCCAATCTCTAATGCATATTATGTATCAATTTCTGACTGCTGCTCATCAGATCTGCAATTTTCCTCATGGCAAGTAACATTATGACTCTATTATTTCTATTCTCATCAAAACTATACGGATGATGTCCTTTGACTGTGTTGCCATGTCCTACATACATTTTTAGATCGCAAGGTTTTCCTCTCTGGGACAAGGTATACCTTGTTTTGTCATGCACCGGTTTGCCAAGGCTGATTCTACTTCACTAAATTTTGATTTTTTTCCTTATAGAGCAATTGATCAGTTGCCTTTTAAAAATGGAACTCTTTTACTTGTTTGAAAGTTTTTAAAAATGTGTTTTCATATTGAAAAACCAAGGTTGCAACATGATTTTGGCAACCTTGTAACAAGTTGGTTGCCACTAGGTTGTCTCTACCTAGTCACAACCTTGTAAAAACCTTGGATTTGCCACGTTTCTTGGCTTGTGACAACCTTGTCACAATGTACAATGAGTTTAGTACAATAACTATAATCTGAAACACTATCAACACAATTATTGTTGACATCCTAATCTCATGTACATGTAGTTTTAAATGATTTCTAGATACTTTTAATGTATCTATGATACATGTATACTATATCCCAGTTGAGTTTGGGACAAGAAAAACTGGAATAACTTTTTATAGGAATGTGGGATAAGAATGAAACTTTCACAGGTTCTTAATCGCCAAAGTCCATCAAAATTTGTGAAATCTTGGGTCTCTCAGCTCTTGGGAACCCTGAGAACCGGGTTCTCCCTATAAACCCAATGGCATACCAAAATGACGTATTATGACAATTTATCTACGTCATAGTTTACATAACAACACATGTCCAGAAATGAGTGGACACGGAGTAGTATACTGAGCAATTATCTCCGTATACCACTGATTGACTTCATACAGGGCAGGAATGGACATTTCCATTTACTAGGCTATATCTTTCTTTACAATAAGAATCATCAATTTGCGCACTTCAGTAGCTGTTCTTCATCCATCTACCTGTGTTCCTGCTAAATATTACAGCATTTGGAGTAACTTTGTGTGGAACATTTACCAATTGAAGATGAGGCAGTCAGTGCCGCCATCTTGTCATTCCTTTATGTATGTATGATAATTTTTTTACTTTTTCAATGGTTATATCTAAATTTCAAACAATTTTTGACAATTTGCTCACTTATTTTGTGAAAGTACAAAATTCTTACTACCCAATGATGCAAAAAAGATAAAGAAATTCAAAACTTTGTTTGGAACATTTGTCTCCTGAAGGTGAAGTAATTTTAGCCATTTCAATGATGACGGCCCGGTGCAGCAGCAAGAGTCAACAAGTCACAAGTGCTTTCCTCTTCTCTTAGGAATAATAAAGTGAAAGAAAGAGTGCTTAACATCTTATATATACAAGCAAATAGTGTCTCTAGACCTTTTTGAAGTAAGACCTCGAGTAAGACGGCCATTTGTTGAGAAGAGCCTGTTCTTTCACCACGCTTGCCACTTTAACAAAAGAATATGAGAAAACTACCATAACCAATTGCATTAAGTAGCATTCTAGAAGCCTCAAGTATCTAGTGAAGTCACATCCATGTACCAGAAAGACGTTAGCAAGCTTTGTAGTGAAGCTTCTTATCAATCCACCATTGCTGAACTGCCGTTGCTATGGTAATTCCAATGAATATCATTAAATTAACGCGACCGGAAGTCCCATTGAAATTTCTGGACATGATGTGGTCGTGAGCACAAACTGATAATTCTTGTTTTAAAAAGCTAACAGAGCAAGATCTTCTGATAATGATGGCCTTTATGAAGACTAGTTGACTCCAGTAGCTGTTGTACTGCTTATCAGGAAGAGCAAGACTGTTTTAAGAGTGAAACAATGCAGCCGCCATGCTTCTATGAATATCATTAAAATACGTCATTTTTGTGACGTAGCTACATTTTTCAAATTCCACGCAGCTGCTTCCACTTCTGTCCCAAACTGAACTGGGATATAGTATAGCTAATGTAAAAAGATGTGGATGTGCATTAATGTTATCTGTATTGACTTTTATAAGTGCTGGTATGGTAGCAATAGCTTCATATTATCATGGGGCATACTTAATGAAACCTCAGTTTCCGGTTAACCTTCGGACAACCTTTTCACAAGTTGTTATGTTTCTTACATGTTAGTCACAACTTTATCACTTTTATACAAGGTTGTTACTAGGTTGCTACAGCTTTGCGAGGTTGTGACCTGGTTGTAACAGCCTTGGAATTTCTACATGGGCTATATGATTTGTGAAAATTAGGTAATAGTTGAATGCAATTAAACAACACGATCGTCGTAAGTTTTAATAACTGAAATTTCATTGAATACTTCTTAGAATGTACCTCAAATAAAACTTCTTTTCTTTAAACACAAGGGATGAAGTTTACAATGTACATGTAGCACCAATTTATTGGATTAGGTTCAATTTGGAAATGCTCTTCTGGTGCAGTCCTTAGTGCAACTGCATCCTTGGACTTATCAATTAGAAGGGATTGGCCAACGTCTGGTCAGACCTAGGTTTATTCCTTGTTATAGCTGCATTATTTGTGTGGGAGTTTCAGATTCGTTAGTTATTCTCCAAAAACCAACATTCATTAATAATGCCATTTGGCTTTGGAGCAGCATAAGAATTGGAGAGACACTAACAGTTTATGATTCTGCTGTCATCACTCAGAACAATAATTTGCTAGAGTTTATAATAGTTGAGAAATAGGAGCGACTGCTTTTTGACGTTATGGATTAACTTTATACCAAGTAATAACGATCACGGAACATAACACCATAGAACATGAACAGCAACCCATAAGTTCACAGCCAAAAGTTATAAATATGCATCAGAACTGACTTTGTCTCAATCAGTCTTGGCATTATATGTGAACCATGAATTTCTGGACTCGGCGATGGTATAGGCATAGAAGCATTCTCAATGAATTGGTATTTCATGTTATTGGCTTGATCTAAATTGGGCTGAGCCCAAAATAACAGAATGAGGCTGCAGACTTGATTTTATTATTTATGGCAACATTCCCAGATTAAGCATAAAAATTTTTGCTATGTATTAATGCACTTCCTTATGTATAAAATCATTGATGATTCTAATAAGTTTTTGAGGTACATAAATTAAAGGTAGAGATTCACAAACAATTGTTACTGCCTTGAATGTGGACTGATATCAGTCTGAATCAGAATGATATTGGTCCTGAATCATGTTTTTTGTGTAGTCAGTCATGATGTAACTGTGAAGTACAGTGACAATACAATCATGATAAAATTTTTATTTATTATTCGCTAAATATCAGGCATGTTTTATAATGTCATGTGTCAGGGCTTTACCAGTATTGAATATCAGTTAATCCTTTATTTTGGGTGGAATTTGCTGATTCAGACATGATAATATTTGGTTTTGTAGTTATAGAAATGATCTAAACAAATGAAGTAATTCAGTAACTCACACTTTAATAAACAATTACACATTATAATAAGTTCATAGTTACACATTTCTGTGCATCTGTAATATGTAGTCGGTTGTTTACAGTTTATGAAATAAAGACCTAACCTTTAGATATTTTAGGCACCTTAATAAATTGAAGCATGATGGCCTCTATTATTGCTTTTGAAATTAATTATGGTATACTATTTAGGTATCAATGTTCCACGTAGCAGATTCCTTCCTGTGAAAAAGACTTCTGATCTACTTGTAGTAATGTCAAATTTGTTCACATTAGTTGATGGTTGTCTCATACAAAACACTGAAAGAAGCATTAGCTCCTTACCTTTAGTCAAACTTGGAGATGAACACTTTCAAAAGGTAAGTATTTTAATGATTTAATCGACAAAATGTTATGTTCTTATAAGTACATGTAATTGCCTTGCACAATTGGTGTCAGAAAATTTAATATTGAAATAAATGTATCAACGAATTTTGTAGGTGGAGATATATTCGTGGCTGCAATTATTTGCGGTCATAAAAATTCAATTAGAAACCAAAAAAACTGAAGTGTTATTTTAATTGAAAACTGTGCGATATTGAAGAAAAGCACCTTGCTGCAGTGTTCTTCAGCTATTGTTCTTGTGTTACTAAGCCTTGGTCTCTTTAGAGCTGCTTTTACTTGTTCTTTGCAGAACTACTGTCTCGCCGCATTTGGGACTCTCCACCCATTCTAGTTAGTGTTTGTTGACTTTGGTGTGGTTCATTATTACTGGCATGGTGACCAGCAATAATTTGGAGCGAAGAGGCTGAATGAGCTCTTAGGTAGAGGTCCATACAAGAAGTTAACAGATAGTGAAGGATTCGCTATTGGTGAACCAGCTAACTCTGAGTCACCTGTACGCTCTAGTACTAGTACATGTACTACAATATCTCCATTAAAGACTACTACTATTTGGAGAAGCTGCTTAGAAGATTTGAAAAGCTGAGAGATCTAAATGATGATTGTGTACTGACAGATACAGAATTTTGAGAAGAGAAGCAACAAATACTAGCTACTTTGAAGAATCTAACACACAAGAACAATTCCTCAAGTATGGAATGAATAACATTGTTTAATCTGTACTTTATTGTCAAAATTGAAAATTCTTCAACATTAATAGTGTTATGCATTTATGCATTGTTGAAGTTGTTAGTTAAAATAATTTGCTAATGATAACCACAATGTGAAATCCATGTTTGGCAGTCTTTTTTAGAAATGCAGCACAATGCAGCTGTCACTTGAGTTTCAGTATCCAGGTCTTTCCAAGTATCTTTGTGATTTTTAGTGAAGATTTGATACATGTAAATGCGTTTTCAATCTGGTTTATATCTGGACTGTATGGAGGAAGGAACTGCACTAAAACTCCAGTTGACTGTATGGCATCAACAACATTGTCAACATTGTAAATAGACGAATTATCCAGCACCACTGTGCTGTGATTGTTAATTCCATTGAAAGGCTTGAGTAGGAAAATAAAGCAATCTTGAACAAACTTTAGAAAGGTATCATTATTTACTGTAGGTGTTGTAGCATAGAAATCTATGATTCCATTTTGAGACATTCCAACATTTGCTGAAACACAATTGCCTGTTACTAACAGTTTTGTTGCTACAGCAAGCTTTCGTTTAAGACTATAGGCAAGCTTCCTCATGGAGTCTCTACCGTCGGCACCAGTGTTATCAACAAAATGAAGAATTCTGGATGACCAATATAAATAGAGAATAGACATTTCTATAAGGTATTTTGACCTCAAAAACTCACATCTCTGTTGTACCTCAATAACCATCTTTTGCTGAGTAAAACCTGATTTCTGAAGAAATCTACATAAGGTTGCCCTGCTCTCTTCAGTACCGTTCTCTATTTTAAGCTTATCAGTGATATCCTCCAGGTTTATACCTAGTGTCTCTATGACTAGTTGAAGAATGAGCTATTTTTCGATATTGCCTAGCTTTTTGGTACCAAAATTTTCTGGATAATCTAATTTCTTATAGTCCCAGTGGCATTAAATAATTGGAGAACTGTAGATACTTTAGATGGATCTACATAATACATTCCACTATCTGTTGGTATGTTCGACCCTAAAACTTTCTTTGGTAAACCATTCTCCACTGCATATCCTCAGAATATGGTATCTTGGCATCAGTTGATGCTACAAAGATAATTCATGTCCCAATCTACTCCAACAGTCTATGTGCAGGTCATGTTCCATCAGATCATTATGAATTTAAGGAAGAAAAATGTGATACTATGACTACTGGATTTTACCATCTTAAGTTAGCTGCCTGCCGCCATTTTTGTTAATTAAAGAAGCATGTGCTCCAAAATGTGGGTATGGTCGCGCATGCTCAGATCTGCAGCTCTGGAAGAAGCAAGCAATTTTTAAACCAAGCTATTCTTGGAATCAACTGCAATACTTAAGTTGAGGTTTCCGGCTAAGAGAAGGTATTAATTGTACATATTATTGTTTTATTTAATTTTAAAAACACATGATTAATTTTATGATATACAATGATAGTGTAAACTTGACAATAGCCTGGAAGAGCAGGAATAGCTACAGGATTGTAGTGGAGATGAACACTCTCAGCTCACAGCTCTTTAGACAAGGACTTGTGTCGAGACTAGTATTAATTTCACTTGTCATCAGTATAGTTGATATTTCTTATCTCTTCAATGCTGTCTTGTATAAATGCTGTAAAGTCATAACAATCATAATAATAATAAAGAAAATTATTGTTTGTGTAAAATCAAGAAGTATTGCAATGGCAAGTAAAGAAATATCAAATATTATTAAAAATTGACACATATAAAAACATAAAAAATTTAAAACAAAAGTTAAGTAAGATTTTAGAGCAAATTTGTTAAAAAGTAATTGAAACAAGGACAGGTAGGATTCCGAATGACTAACGAAAATACGAAATGAAAATCCTACTCTCATGACGCAAATTCTACTTTACAATGCAAGGCAATCTGTTATTTCTTAAATAATAACATTAAAAGTACAATTTAGAGTAGAATTTGTCACGAGAGTAGAATTTTCATTTCGTAATTTTGTTAGTCTTTTGGAATCCTACTTGTCCTTGTTTCAGGTACTTTTTTATAAATATTTATTTTTTAACAAAGGAAGTTTAACATACTATATGTAAACATTGAAACAACGGGTATTTATATCTGGATATGCTACCGTTATGTTACAAAAGTATCCCATTCATTGAAGTATGCATTCATTTTAGCCCTATTTAAGTTGTCTGATGAGTACTAACTAGTTTCAATACGTTACGTCACAAACTTACTACCCACCAATCTTAACATTCCCTGATTTTATGAAACTAAAATTATTTATACTAGATACTCGTGCTTGTGATTAAGAGTTGTATCTCAAGTGCAGGAAGGAACAAAGCATGTCTTAGCCTATTTCAGTGAAAGTCTCTCCAAACAGAAAAAAAATGCAGCGAGAATTTTTAGCAGTCATTTGCTGCACATTTTTGTTGATACATTTTAAGTGCAAAGTTTAATTCAATCACATCCTAATTCTCTGAAGTTGTTATGCAGTTCCTAAAGCAGCTAGAGGGTCAATGAGCTTAAAGTATTCCTTTACAGTAGAACATTGCCTTGGCCATAAATATAGAAATGATGATGCCCTTTCCAGAGAGCATCCAGTATTTATGTCCTCAATTCGAGTAAATCATTGTTAGGGCATACTTCAGCACCAATGCCTTGTTTTCATTTGGAAGACTCCATTATAGGCCCTGTTTATTAGGCATGTACCATTGGCTGACAGATCAAATTTTGACACAATACAGTGTGGCTACACAAAGTCTGTTTCAGCTGTGGGATCAGGTAGTAGTTATGGATGGAATGCTATTTTGGAGGTGAACCATCTATTAAGCACTTGGTTACTCCCAAGATCCTTTGGCACACGATAGCACACAGCCTGCACACAGGTATATCTATTGTTCACTTGGGACTGGCAAGTCATTACGAAGATATTAGTAACGCGGTAGCGTTACTAAGTACGATTCACCCCCAAACAAAATGGCTGCCACGACTTTTGCAGCCTTGCTATACCGGGAAAACGAGCTCCTATGTTTACCAGACTTTATAGAGGACCTTATCTTGACCAGAGGACTCCAATGGTACAACTAGCGTGGCTCTAGACCTTGTCTAAGCGAAAAGTCAAAAATCGGCGAACCGGCCGTTTTGTTTAGCCACCTTTTTTCATCTTCATCATCATCATCATCATCTTCATCAAGTCCTGTCAATCCAGTTGTCGGTATGTATCTCAGTATCAGTGGGTGCTACAAGAGTAATTCTTACACCAATCTACTCCAACAGTCTATGCGCAGGTCCATGTCCCATCAGATCATTCTTCAAGTAAGGAAAAAGTGATACTGTGACTGCTGGATCGAGCCATCTTAGCTACATGCCGCCATTTTATTAATTAAAGAATCTTGCCATGTGCTCCAAAATTTGGGTGTGGTCACGCATGCTCAGATCTCCAGCTCTGGAAGAAGCAAGTTATTTTTTCAACTTACTGCAATACTTTAGTGGAGGTTTCCAGCTAAAAGAAGATATTGATTTTACATGTTACTCTTTTATCAAGTGTTATTTTATTTTATTTTAAAAACAAACAATTAATTAATGTTATGACTTATGATATGCAATGATAATTATGAACTTGACAACAGCCTGGAAGAACAGGAATAGGAGGGAAGATGGACACTCTTAGCTCACAGATTCTTGAACAAGGACTTGGTCAAGACTAGTATTAGTTTCACTTGTCATCAGTATAGTTGATATTCCTTCAGCATGTCTATTCTTAGACTAATAATAGTAGTAATAGCACCATGGGATGATAATATGAGGAGGCAATGATCTTTCCACGATAGCCGCAGTAGACTTTGATAGCAGAGCATCTCAATAGATATAAAAATAAATATATCATGTGATCTAAAATAAGAAAATGTCTGATTTAAGGTGGTGTTGTTCTTTGATTTACAGTGTCCTGACGTCATTGCAGTGCTATGAATACAGTAGTCTATTCAATGCTGTCTCTGATAAATGTTATAACAATGATAATAATAATAAAGAAAATTATTGTTTGTGTAAAATCAACAAGTATCACAATTGCAACTAAAGAAATACTATAAATATTATTTTTAAAATCAACACAAACAAGAACATAAAAAATTAAAAAAAAACAAGATGAAGTAGGATTCCGAATGACCAACGAAAATACGAAATGAAAATCCTACTTGTGACACAAATTCTACTCTACATTGCAAAGTGATCCGTAATTCTTACATAATAACATTAAAAATACATTGTAGAGTAGAATTTGCGTCACGAGTAGGATTTTCATTTTGTATTTTTGTTGGTCGTTCGGAATCGTACTTCGTCTTGTTTTTTTTAATTTTTTATGTTCTTTTGAATATTGGTGCTGCACATGTTCTGAGTCTGGTACACGCAAAACACCGATTCCCCATTCGAAAAGATGACTATAAAGTATTAATACAGGAATTCCAATGCTGTTGATCTCCTACCTCCTGCGACCATTTCTAGCTAATCCAAGTGGCAGCAGGTACCTGTTTGTCACAATGGGTTATTTTGCCAAGTGTAGGAAGGAATATTCACCCAGTTCCTATTATGGAAATCTCTACTGTGGCAACAACTATTCTCAATGAAATGTTTTGTTTTTCTCCTGAGCTCCACCACTCTGACCAAGGGAAGCAATTTGTGTCTCATTTAATTAATAAAATTTGTCACTTATTGCAAGTTAATAAACGTAGAACCACACATTATTAATAAACATACCTACTAATGAATGATGTATAACTTTAATAAACTAATTAGCTCTAAAGTAAAAATCATTAAACATCGATTTATACCATATATGTGTAGAGTCCTGCATTTATTTAAAGCACTCTTAGCAAAAAATTAATTGATTGATGATTAATTTCATGGTGCATTCATTGGAACCGTGCGGACATTTAAAAATTTTTTGTTTTGGTCAATGGTATGTTTGAATACTAAAATTTTACATTTGTCTTACCTCTAGTCACAACGCTTTAAAGTAGGCCATAAATTATATAGAAACTAAGAGTTTATGTGAGGTGCAACCATTACACTTACAACTTTCTTAAGCAACAATTCCTATTGATCTTGATAAAGTTTAACTGCTTCTACACATTTTCTGTCTGATGACTCTACTTTCACTCTCTTTGTAAAAGACCCCTAATTCTCTTTTACAGTCAAACCTGTCTATTCCGGACACTTAGGGACTAGCATGAGCTGTCCTGAATATAGAGGTCAGAGGATTGAATTTAAATGACATTTAAAACATCCTACCTGTAGATCTGTGCTTGAATACATGTTTATTATTCAAAAAAGTCAGTTATAAGTGTCTGCTTAGCTGCTGCAGAAGCAGAAAGTGATACTACAGAATTTATTAAGGCACAACATTTTGTAGCTTCAGAAGTATGGCCTTTATTTTCCAAAAATGCAGAAACATCTTCCAAGTATTTGACAGCATCACTGTAACTTGTAATGACTTGCTGGGACGATGATAGCACATTTGTGTCCACCTCATTTTCATCATCATTGTTTTGTGTAACCGCCTCTTCCTCATTAGCAGGGTCTAATTCTCCAAAAAAAATTTTCTACCCAGTTCTCAGATGCAATGTCAGCACAAACTGGTATATTCTCTTCCCCTTTTATTAATTCCTCTACAGAGCAAAAATTTGTTTGTTCGACTTGAGATACAAGGCCACGTAGCTCAGCAATGTCATC